ACACACACACACACACACACACACACACACACACACACACACACACAGAGCACATTAAGTGTGAGCAACAAAAAGAATGGAGCAGAGAACAACAGACTGAGTGAGGAACTGTTCAAGCCTCAGCTGAACAGAAACACCAACAGATTCCATCAAGTCCTTATTTATTCGACTAAAGCCAGTCCAGTCCCTGATCCAACAGAACCTTTTTCAGCTGCAGAACCCTCAGTGGATTTCTGTAGGACCATCAGTCTCTCTCATGGTTGTGGAGGGGTTCCGGCCCACTTTCCTTTCCAGCATTGCTTCAGTTCATTGAGGGTTCTGTTCGGCTCTCTGAAGGTCCATCACATCACCTCAGTCAGGTTGAGGTTCTGGACTCTTACTGGACTGTTCCAGTAGCTTGGTTTTGTTCTTTTGACCTGTTCTGTTGTTGATCAGCTACTGTGCTTGGGATCATGGTTCTGTTGGACCCAGTTTGGTACAATTCAATTAAATTCAACCTTTATTTAGACAGCTAATCCCATTGAGCCTCGAGGACTCATTTACATGAGAGACCTGATTTCAACAAAGAAAGATGACAACAATGGACAACATCAACAACAATAAACAATTATAAAAAGTCATACTGCAGTTTTTTTGTTGTTGTTTTTTTTACAAATAGGATGGCTAAAAGAAAAAGGTAACAAAAAAACAAAACAAAAAAAACAGCTAGATTCTAAGGTGAATGTAGAAAACTAAAAACAGGAACATGTCTGCGTTGGTCCCTGCCAAGAGTCCAACAGGTTCTTAAAGCCACTTAGAGAGGTCAAGGTCGAGAGCTTCAATTGTTTTTGTAAGGTATTCCAGGAAACAGGAGCAGAGTAGGAGAAGGCCCTTTTGCCCAGTTCAGTCCTCATTGAGGGAACACTGCAGGTAATAATGTCCTGAGAGCGCACGCCGTAGCTGCACTCACGCAAAGACATGTAGGAGGAGAGCTTAAGCTGTTGGACAGATGGACCCACATTGGACTCCAAAACCCCTTGGTCTACCGAGGAGTTCCTGGTCCACTCAGGGACTGACAGGAGCCCAAACCCTAACCCTTTTTTTCTGTCTGGCTCTCGCTCAAGGTGACTGCCTTCCCTCTCCTGTTCTCCTTCCTCCTGCTTCACTCTCTGTGTGTCTGAAGCGCCTGGTACACACCTCCCGAACAAAAATTAAAATTATGGATCTGGGACCTAGACTTTTAATACAATCTTCAAAATCTTTTCTACAAAATGACAGGGTCCTGGAGAACCCACTTGTCCAGCTGAGACTCACGTTGTGGGGTACATCAGAGATGAGTGGGGAGTTTGGCAGCTGATGTGCCTCTCAGTCCTGTCTCAGGAGGATGTTGAGGACGTTTATATATTTGGATTTATGATAGCAGGGTCTCTGCTCTTTGGCATCGGCGGGGCTCTGTTTTATCAACGTTTGAAGAAGACATCAGCAGCAGTTTCGGCCATGACAAAGCTTCCGAGTCAGTGCGAAGGTTTGTGCTGTGAGTACTCAAAATCCGCTGATTTATGAGCTAAACCGTAAGATGGACACAATTTGTGAGAATCGCACGCCACCTGCAGCTTCTAGGACTCGACAGCATGGTGGGATCGACCTTGAAGGAGGCTCATAACATGGATCAGTGGAATGGATTCCCATAATCTGGCCATTTTGAACCGGAAAGTTCCAGAAGGACTCAAGGCTGACAAGAAAAAAAGCAGTTTCCCTGAAGAAAATCAACAATTGTGGCTTATCTGAATCTGACTCCCCCGTTTGGCCTCGGATATGACTATCAAATTTATCCTGGATCATGGGTAACTAGGGACAAAAGCTTCATCTATCGCAATCCCACCCCAAGAACTTCTGTGCAGGCATATCAGAACTGCCGGTTGAAACAACATAATCAGAACTGTGCCTATCTGAAAAACGCTCATAGACAAATCTCAACACCTTGACATGCATATGTAATCATGTTTTTAAATGTGCATGCTGGTAGAGTTTTTTTTTTTCTCTAATCGTGTCCTGATAGGACAAGATGTGAAGAGATTTTTTTTTTGTAATACCAATATCTATCCTCATGGTTCTTCCCTTTTCTATCTAAAAGTATTCTGATAAAGAATAGGAGCTGCGCTTCTCAGCAGCAGAAACATGCACTCCGTTCATCTTTCGGACGACTGTACGAAGCTAATCTCACTGTATTCCGGTACAATGATAATTCTGATAACCCTCCACCACCACAGCTGCTGGTGTTTTTGCTCAGATGCTGCATTGGTTTCCTCCAAACACAGAGCTGTGGACGATGGTGTTACAAGATGATCAACTATGAAGCATAAAGTAGAATACTGGAAGTTAGGCTAACTTAGGTGTTAGCCTCAGCTTGGATGCTTGCCTTAGCTTGGGCGTAAACCTCAGCTTGGGCGTTAGCCTTAGCTCAGGTGTTAGTCTCTGTAAGTTAGCCTCAGCTCAGGTGATAGCCTCAATTCAGATGTTAGCCTCAGCTCGGGCGTTAGCCTTAGCTCAGGTGTTAGCCTCTACTTAGACATTAGCCTCAGCTCAGGTGATAGCCTCAGCTCATGTGTTAGCCTCTGCTTAAATGTTAGCCTCAGCTCAGATGTTAGCCTTAGCTCAGATGTTAGCCTCAGCTTGAACCTTAGCCTCAGCTCAGGTGTTAGCCTCAGCTCAGGAGTTAGCCTCAGCTCGGGCGTTAGCCTCAGCTCAGACGTTAGCCTCAG